TAAGAAAAAACTTCCGCCTAATTCTTTGTGGAATCCTTAGTTTATTAATATGTATATTTACGTTTGGAAGGAGTATTTATGTGTGAACTATAAAAAGTTTGTTCGATTACATTTACTAATATGCTAATAGAAATATTGTATGTCCTTCTCAAACTCATTCTTCCGATTCCGTTTCTATTCTGCTCAGGCCTTCACACTGCACCGAAATCTAGTGAATGTTTAGTAACGTTAGGGGTATTTGTTTACTAACTTGAAATCTTTTACTGGTGCGGTAATTCCCACTTAAAATATATATTTTATATCTTTTTTAGTAACATGCATACTGGATATTGTTTAATAATGTTGTTAAAATGTAAAATGTGATTAGTAAACAAACACCCATAAAATATGAATAAAATTGATGAAAGTGGAAACAAATTTTCTTCTCCATAAGAATAACATTGTGTCATCTGTTTGTTGTCTCTCTAGGCCTTTGACGTCATATCTTGAACTCGAAATATCTCGATGAACTGACACAGCCTAAAGGTACGGTCACACGACTTTTGGAAAAACCATTCATGTCTTTCTCTCTCCTAAGACAGAGGCATAAGATTGTCTCACTCTGCATTTTTTTACATTTCCCAAAGACGGAAAATGCAGAGTGAGACAAACTTATGCGTCTGTAATAGGAGAGAGAAAGACAAGAATGGTTTTTCCAAAAGTCGTGTGACCGTACCCTAATAGCAAGAATCTGGAAAACGCCTATATGAAACGAGAATAAGTTGGTTTCGCCACGTCACGAGGTGGCACGTTTAAGCTTCCGCACATTAAGGAGCTTCTACAATAGCTCCGTTTGGCAACTCCAAGTCCAAGTCCAAGTCGGTTGGAGTTGGTTGCGCACGCATGGTGTTGCCAACTGTCGCCGAGTTGAAAATGAAAAAAAAAATTGTGCGTGATCTCGTGCTCACGAAATAGTTGAGATTATGTACTTTTGAAGCTGTAAACACGCTGTAAAGTTTAATAAATTATTTGTTGTTGTTGCTGTTGATGTTGCCGCCGTCTCATCGTTTTTTAAAGAGAAGAAAAATATAAATTAAATTAAATTTTTCTTTTATAAACAACAAAATTTTTTTCCCCGAATAATACACACATGCAATGAATTTTATATTTGTAATATATAAATATAAAGAAATATACAATAAATGAGATGAACTGTCAATACAAAATTTTTTTTGTTTTTTATTGACATTATAATAAAAGTTTTTCATCATTTTGATTTCACAATATATTAAAAAGGTATTTTCATGAACATAACCTTACAATATTTTTTGCTTATTTTAATATTAGAGAATGCAGATAATTTTCAAAGTTTAATATTTTATGAATGAATTTTTTCGTCTAAAATTCATTGAATATAATTACTATATGTGATAATTCTTTAAAAAGTTAATTTCTTCATGCGTTGCCATAATATTTTTGTAATCCAATTTCCTGAATTCTCCATTTTTCCATGTAAATAATAACTTTTTTCCTGACAAACAGATTTCTTATTAGAAGAAAAAAAACATTTAAGACTCTACAAAAATTTTAAACACTATAATCTAAATACTCTAATCTGAATTTAATTCTGAAAATAACATTAAAATAATCTGTTAATGAGAATAATGTAATCTTAAGTTAAGTTATTTTTAAAAATCGTATTTAATTAAAAATATAATAAATATGTCAACGCACGTTTTCGATTATTTATTTAAATATTTTTAAATTTAATACCATTTTATGATTACGCCCTTCTCATGTAATGAAATGTAAAAATATTGTAAGGTTATGTTCATGAAAATACCTTTTTAATATATTGTGAAATCAAAATGATGAAAAACTTTTATTATAATGTCAATAAAAAACATAAAAAAAAATTTGTATTGACAGTTCATCTTATTAATTGTATATTTTTTTATTACTTTATTTATATATATTACTATATATATCACGAACAATTTTTTTTTATTTTCAACTCGGCGACAGTTGGCAACACCATGCGTGCGCAACCAACATGAGTATGAGTGAGAAGAAACTTGCCTGTTTCTACACAGGGTGCAGTGAGTCAAAAGTTGACATACTAAATAAGCTTAATGTCGTCGAGTTTCTTGCGCGGAAACCTACTGCGCATCCGACTTCCCCTTTCCCCTACAGCCCCGCTCCCATAATCAAAAAACGTATACATAACGCATTTGCTCTTGCCTTGAAAAAAGCAAGGCTAGAAGAGAGCAAGGTTCTTGTGCGCAGTAGACTAATTTGAGGTATCGGAGGCAGAAACTCCACGCCTTTTTTTTGTCACAATCTGACTCACCCTCACCACCGTAGTATGACCTCCTGTTTCTAGTCTTCTTGCCTTAAAGCTATTAAGGCCTTTCTCTAATAGGTTCCTAAGGGTGCAGTCCCATATATGTAGAATAATAAAATAGTGAAATAGATTTAACCAATTAGATGATTGGATTTTTTGAACACCTTCTCTGATTGGTCAATTCTATTACACTATTTTGCCAGCATGGGACTGTACCCTAAATGTTTGTGTTGCGTGACTGACGCATTGGTTCGCAAGCGCAGACATCCTCAAAGCTTTGATACCAATCGCGAACAAAAAGTTTGGTTTATGATTTAAATGGTACGGCCACAGCTCATCTGCCTGTCTGCGGGCAGACGAGGCAAGGCTCACATGAGTGTGAGCGAGAAGAAAAACTTGCATTTTCTCGCTTACACACTCTCGCCCCGTCAGCCCGCAGGCAGGAAGGCAGCCGAGCTGTGACCGCTTCATAAGACACTAGATTTTTAAATTATAAATATTGTAATGATAGTTAGAAATCGGCCGGTAAATATTTGTACTAAATATTATCGCGCGTCGATAAACAAGTTACCGACCGCGGAGCTCAAAGACATAGTACCCGATTTCACCGCGCGGGTCGCATCGCCAAAGCTCACTCGCGTGCGCCCAGCCCACCGATCGGCTATATAAGCTGCGCTCTCGGTGAGGACCGCCACTCTCGTTCTACACGGAGTCCGGGTGGGTCTTACCCACCCGACTAGGAGTTTTACTCCGAGAATCTTTGTGGAGAGTTTTACTCTCGTTCGACGGGTTTTACCTGTCGAACATTATATCGGTTTTAATGTATATAGTGTATAGTAACGAACCGTGAAATAATGTGTCGCGATTTAAAGAATGTATAGTCAAAGATTTGTAATGTAACGTAACAAAATGTATAGTAAAGTAACGAAATGTATTGTAACGTAAATTTGAATTCACGAAGTTAAAGTAGATTTTTTGTTTTATTACCGTTTTAATCTTCGTTCTTAGATATACTTAGAATGTTACTCTTTGTATAATTGTAACACGAGTTTTACTCGTGGTTCACCGGTTATCGCGAATTTTTAGGCAGTAAAGTAACTGATTTATGGCTCATCATAGCGAGTTGAAGCCGATTTTGTTAATGCGCGGCTCAAATATACGACGTTCCCGATTGATGCCGATTTTCAATTTCCGCGGCTCAACATTTAATTTGATAGACGCCGAAAAATCGTTACTCGAAACCGACTTTCGCGATTTACTTGTAATCTCCGTATAACTTTGACATTGTAAATACCGTTGTAAATAAATAATTTGTTATCAGTTTGCAATTAACCCGTTATTATTGTTTATTATTTTTTTGGAATCAAAACGAACCCTGGCTCGGGGAGCTAAAACATTGATTCTTTAAATTACAAACGTTACAATATTAAATAATTAAAATTATTAAATGCCGCCGAGATACATTTGAATTAAACATTGTAAAGTTGGAAAACAGGTATAAGAGGAACGTAAACCAAACTTTTTGTTCCCGATTGGTATCAATGCTTTGATGACGTCACTGCACTTGCGAACCAACGCGTCAGTCACGCAACGCAAACATTTAAGAACATATTGGAGAAAGGCCTTTAGGGAGAGTTATCGACGTCGACGTATCATTCTGTCTTTGTCTCTCCCATTGTCTGTCCTTAAGGCCGACGCGTCGCTATCAATGCGTCGACGTTCAGAAACCACCTATTCTGGACTCTCTCTGAAGGCCTTTCTCCAATAGGATCTTAAACTCTTGCGTTGCGTATGCATTGCGTCGGTTGCTATTGGCAACCAATGCTAAAATCAACGCGTCAGTCACGCAACGCAAAAGTTTAGGTTCCTATTGGAGAAAGGCCTTTATCTGCTTGCGTCCATCTTGAGTTTCCCCCACCCAACTTGAATAACCTAAAGGCCTGAGCAGAACAGAAACGTAACCGTAATCGCAATCGTAAACGGAAGAATGAGTTAGAGAAGGATAGTCATATATTGTTGTTCTCTTACTAATTCTTCCGTTTGCGATTACGATTCCGGTTACATTTTTATGGTGCTTAGGCCTTAATAGGGGAAGTGCACTGACTATAGAGTCTCTATAGAGTCTATCTGGAATGCTGTCTGCCATTGATGGAGGTTCTACAATAGGTGCAAAAGCCAAGTACAAGTGCAAGTCCATATGCAAATCCCATGAGTGCAAGAGAGATAGATAGACTACCTATCCCCTTCGCACTCATGAGATTGCCACTTGGACTTGGCTTTTGCACCTATTCTGGAACCACCTTGAAAGTCGCGAGTCGAGAGAGAGGTCTGATTCCTGTATTCCTCTCTTTGTCGGTACAGGTCCATTAGAAAATATTTAATGCATACGTGAATATGACATAAAGGCCTGAGCAGAATAGAAACGTAACTGGAATCGTAATCGCAAACGCAACCGGAAGAATGAGTTAGAAAAGGATAGATATATTGTTTGTCCTTCTCTAATTCATTATTCCGGTTACGTTTGCGGTTACGATTCTATTCTGCTTTGGCCTTAACACAGTTAACAGTAAACTTTTAGAACGTATTGTACTACGCCTGCGCAGTTTAGCAAGAGAAGGAGAGGGATACAGGAATCAGGCCTCTCTCTCGGTTAGCGACCATCAATGGCAGACAGCATTCCAGATATATGTAGTTCAGTGGGGAAGTGTCCCTCCTACGATACGGCACATTTTGGACGTTTCACTATGTAACTTTCACAAAAGTTTTGTATAATATGACAAAATATAAAAATGCTGTTTTTAAGGACTATTTTTATTTATCAATTTAATTGATTTTGTGTGCAATTGTAATATGAGTCAGTTTTCACTCCGTGAAAATTAATTATTTATAATAGTTCAATTTCAGAAGATTATTTTATGGTTGAACAAATCGGTCCACACATAATGACTTAATGAAAGAAGTGTTATTAGCATCAGTTCCTACACTAAATACAACAATGTACTAATTATATTTACAAAAATTTCACCTTTTAGTGTATAAACATCATAGAAGTTTTTTACATTGTTAGGAAAGGACATTGAAACTCCATATTTGTGAAAAAAATCCGTTTTGGATTACACGGAACAAATATCACGAAGATTCCACTGGTTAATAATAAAGGTAAATATATGTATTTTGTTTTAAAATTATTTAGTTTTAATCTTGTCATTAAAATAAATTAAGCAAGTTTCTTTTTGTTCGTTTTTAATTGTAATAAGTTTTTTTTTTGTATTTGTATATTTTTTACTAATCATATCGCGCCTGAAAACTATTCAATAATTTAAAAACAAAACTGATATTTGGCCGCAGCACACCAGGAAAAGTATAGTTCAGCTTAATCCTGGAGTGCCACTGTGGGTATTTAAAAAAAGTTAAAAAGTTTTATTGATTTTTCATGTCTTGTGTTAATGTTAAAAAGTAGTCGACAGCATAACCTCAAGTTTCATAAAGGATAATAATAAATTAAAGCTTATTTCAAACAAAAAATTCCTTAAATCTGTTTTACACGAATTTTTATTTAGCACAATTCTTATATGAATTTTAACATTTATTCTTATTTATTCTTAACAGAATTTTTTTATAGAAAATTCACTAAATTTTAATTTAATTATTTTTTTATGTCACAGAATTGACATTTAAATTCCACGGATTACACGACATTTTCGATTTATTTTATAATAAAACGAGACTTTTTCGACATTTTTTTTACAAAATACGTTTTTTTAAGTATACAATGCATATCTTCTTCAGCTCTTCTTTATTTCAATTATTTAACTAATTTAAACTAAAATTCTTCTCTAAATAAATTATTTTCAATAATTTTAATCGTAAACTATTTTTCAATTAAATATTGTATAAAATTAAAAAATTTCAATTTAAAACTTCAAAAATTTTTCTCCTATTTAATGCTGAAACTCGAATAATGGGATATTTCTTAAAAATCCAAAATTGAACCAAAAAATTACAACCTCGGATTGCACAACTTTTTCGACTTTTATCGACTTTTTTCAATAAATGCGACTATTTCGACTTATTTTTATAAAATGTGACTAGGTCGACTCTAAATTAAACTAATTTAATTTCAGTGTATTTCTTTTCAACGATGAGGTGAATCTTGATACACTGCTGTCAAAGAAATTGACATGCTCTTATAAAGAGTTACCTTCTCTACTAAGTCTATTTATTAAAGAATGATAAAAAGTATCTAGAATTATTTGCAAAATTAATTATTTTTAATAATGTGGTTAAAATTCTTCGAAAATCATACATAATTTAGAACATGTTAGAATTACCTAAAAATTCTCTAAAATTCAATTATGGTTTGAAGTTTGTAAAAAAAATTTATCATTTAAATTTGAATCATTTATTATGAAATTTTCAATTTAAAATCTACTGAAAACCATATCTTTAATTAAAATTTTCTGAAATTTTTATTATTTAAAACACTTTCTCAATACAAATTTTTATTAAATTCAGTTATTGCCTGAATCTTATAAAAAAGTATTCAGAAATTTAATTTTACGTAAATTTTGATTAAAAATCTCCTGAAATTTAATTGCTTTTAACAATTGTAACTGAAACTATTTTAAAATTTAATATTTTTTTAAATTTTTAACTTAAATTCTTTGTTGAATTAATTATTTTTCATAAATTTAATCAGTCTTAAAATATTCCATTAATTAACACATTTCTCAATTAAAATTTAATATATATATATATATATATATATATATATATATATATATTATGTCAAATAATTTTTATGTCAATGTACAATTATGTTAATTTAAATTTAAGAGTGTTCAAAAGTCTCTGAAATTCTTTGGCATTTATTGACCGCTCTATAAATACGGCACTGAACGTAAAAATGATAAACATTGATTTTAAAACACTTTTTTCTTAAATTATGAGCACTTTTTATAAAATCGGCCAACGTACCAAGATTTCTTGTCTTATAAATTTCCTAAATTCGAAAGATTTTTCAAATCATTGCAGAAACGCGATCGTAAAATTGGAAATAGGAAAGTAATAATTTTAGCTTTATTACGTCCTGCTGTCGTTAGATGGCAGAAGCATGCAGGGAGCACAAAGTCGCAGCTGTCATTATTATTATTTGCCTTTTTCCAATTTTGCGATCGCGTTTTTGCATGGATTCCAAAAATCTTTTGGATTTAGGAAATTTATAAGATAAGAAATCTTGGTACGTTGGCCGATTTTAAAAAAATGGGTCTATAATTTGAGAAAAAAGTGTTTTAAAATCAATGTTTATCATTTTTACGTTCAGTGCTGTATTTATAGGGCGATAATTAAATGCCAAAGAATTTTAGAGACCTTTGAACACTCTTAAGTGAAATGATATTTATGTTAATTGAAATTTGGGGTTTATTCATGCGAGTCAATTAGGAAAATTGGAATTTTTTTTTGAACAGAAAATTAATTTTAAAATTTAATTTAAATAAATTTGAAATTTCAGTTTCTTTGAAAAATATAAATAAAATCAAGTTTTTTATATTTTCAAATTTTCAACACAATCTTTAAGATCTTAGTTTTAATTTGCTTTTTTGAAACTTAAAAAAATATTTACCTGTTTTGCAATCTAGCAAATAGTATATACACTGATACTATTCAATGAAAAATCAATGAAATTGTGAATATATACAAAATACGTAATACGTAATAGACTTTTGTCTTGAACATAGCAAACATAAACTATAATGTGTTGATTATATTTCATGTTTCATTAAAAATAAATAATAATGCACACTGTTGATAAATTCCTAATAATTTAAATATAAATTTATTCAAATAAGATCAAAAAAAAAAAAAAATTAAATAAAAACATAAACAAAGTGTACTGTTTGGAGAAAGAAGCATCCGACATTTTGATATCTCAATAAAAAGTGGGGGAACATTAGCAGTAGCGTAACATTCACTCAAAAGAGAGTGAGGCCAAAAACACTGTTGTGTATCGTGAACTAAACGGAACTCAACGCTGTTTAGTTACAATAACTGCTAGTAAAGTTGTCATGACAATATTTTAGGCTACTAAACAAGTTTTGTAGCCACAACCGTAACTCTTCTCTCTGTGTAATAATCAACTAATAATGATAATTTTTATTAGCAATGTTTATGTATATTATGTGATTATTACTTTCATTGAAACGTCCACTACACTTAAAGTTAATTGAACATCTTATTTTTATATAAAATCTTTAATAAATTAAACATAGGTACCCGGGTGCCTCGTCCGCCCATAGAAGGTGTTTTTTTCCTCAGTACCTATTGAAAATCCCTGTACAAGATCTTGTACAGGGTTTTTCAATAGGGTAATCAGCTTTCCAACCATCTAAGTTACAAGTCTCTAACTTTATTCTAACTTAAAATATCTTACTTTAAAGTCTTAGATCATTCCAACTTTACGCACGTCAAGCGTACCGACAATTTTAGAGATGGGAGGGGGTTAGACATAGTATCACTCTCCATTGTAACTTAATGTGTAAACTATAGAGTAACTCCAGGTCAGCCGTGTCAACAAATTTTCATTGATTTTCTAAAATCTTAAAACTTTTATTAAACTCTGTAGTTTATAATAAAACAAAAAAACTCTTTTAACCGTTTTTTGAAATTTTAAATTTTTGTTAGTTTATTTTTGCATAAACAAAATTTTACAAAATTTTAAAGAAAAATTAATAACTCAACAATCGTTTGCAATAAATTAATGAAACTTATACGGATTATATAAAAAATTGCCCTCTTTTCAATGAATAAAATTGCAAAATTGTAAACCTAAAAATTCGATATTTTTAATAACAATTTTATAAACAATTTACATTATGTATGTGTTCTAACCCTCTGATTGTGATAAAACTTAAATAAAGTGTACATGGCAGTCTTCTCTTTAAGTTCCAAAATGAAAAAATTTGTATTTTCCACTAGAAGTGTATTAAACGAATTTTTTATTGTGACGCGCGCCAACCGCCGCGCCATATCACTCTGAGAAGGGTTGCTACAACCTACGCTGCACTTAGGCTTTAAGGAATGTAAAGAAAATGAAGCTAATAATATATATTTAAAATTTACGAATCCGGTGTCCGTTTTTCAAAATTCAAAATGGCGGATGACTTTAAATTCGCAATCAGCGACCCCGAAAACCCCCGAGTAACTATTTTCAAGGAAATATGTTTAATTTTTGAAAATTCGTCCGACATATTGGATCAGCCATTTTAAATTTTCCAAATCTGACGTCTAATTTGTTAATCAGCGACCCCAAAAACCTAAGAATACCCAGTAATACTTAAATTAAATGAATTACTTTTTTGTACTGTACACTCAAATTCGCCCTGTAGAAAAATGTGTCACAACGCGACTTTTTGTGGGCTATTTATGTATCCTAGAGTGTCAAAAGATTAAATATTCTTTGCAATTATATTTGCAAAATATTACAATTATAATTTAGAATTAAATTATTGAATATCATGCTATTAAATGTTGTTTTTTATGGAATTTAAGCAGCTGGGTCCCTCGAACGTCAAAAAATGAACTCAGGCACGTGAGGGTTAACATAGGTGTATTCAACTAAGAAACGGTAGTAGAATTTTTATTAATAGACAAAAAATGTAAACCACTTCTTTTCGTGCATCAAGCTCAAGCACGTTTGGATGTTAGGCAGGTCAGTCGCTAAAGTTGATATGGCGCGCGTCACAATAAAAAATTCGTTTAATACACTTCTAGTGGAAAATACAAATTTTTTCTTTTTGGAACTTAAAGAGGTGACTGTCATGTACACTTCATTTAAGTTTCATCACAATCAGAGGGGTTGAACACATAAATAATGTAAATTGTTAATAAAACCCAGATAATAAATAATTAATAATAAATAAAACAATAATAAAAAATTAATAAAACAATAATAAAAAATATAATAAAATATAATAAAACCTAATAATAAATAAAATAAAAAAACCAAAAATATAAAATTCAAAAATTAATTTAATTAGTTAAAAATTATGGTATATTGAAAAAATAACGGCAATTAATACTAGAAATTAAAATGATAAATAAAGTAAGTATATAATAAGATATATAAATATTATTATTAAATTAACAAATGTTTAATACAT